CACCACCCTACTCTAAACTGAGTGGTATTTTGCACACTCAGGAGCACAGACCTCCATGGTCCACCACCCTAGTGGCTACAAACTGTTAAGTGGCAAGGACTCCAATACTCCACTAGAAGAAGTAGGAAAAATTGCATTGGAGAGTCCGGAGAACCACAGCACTGAAGACAGTGCAATGGGTCACTGCAATACCCTATTTTGAAAAGCAGAGCGATCTTGTCGACTAGCAATTGTACAACGAGTCTACGGTACGAAGAACCTCAATGCCATGGATCATCAAAGATGAGCAGTAATCCCTGTCTGGTTTACTCATGTTAGTCTGTGAGTATACGGTCCAGGATGAACATACTTATGGAGCAACAGACCACCCCATCTCAACAGTATGTGTAACGCGACCTTATAACATGTTATGGTATTGTATTTTGATTCATAGATGACACATTGAGGGAGTCGATCAACCAACACCTGGTGGCTTCTGGAACTGTACATCAGGTATGCAGTGGGAAGACCCTCATCATCACAGTCATCAAGCATGGTCTATGATCACATGTCATACAGTGCAGATTTAAGATTAAGTATACCTGGTCAGGTAACACTAGCCACAGAGTGGGTTCCAAATATGCGATAAAGGCCCCTGCAAAGAAAAGAATGGAGTGCTTACCACCCACAGATGAACAGTTACATCACTGATGATGTCCCCCAAAATTTGATGGAAATGTGCAGCCAGGGACATGGTAAGGTGATGGATCTGATGGGAAGAAAACATGAAAAAAGGTGACAGTCATCAAGAGAAAGGGAAGAAAAACATCAGGCAAATTCAACCCGGAAGAGTATTAGGAAAAGGTCACGTGAGAGGTAAGGTTTTCATGGAAGAAACAGGTGGAAGGGAGCAACATGTTTCATATACCATTGGAGAGCTCTTACTAGGCAAAGGAGATGGGTGGGATCAAAACATTCATAAAGGTGGGAAAAGGAAGGGAGAAGTATCCTCTTGAGCAGCTGAAGTCTTGGGCATAAAGGAAGGATCAGGAAAGAGGACAACATAGGAACAAAGAAAATAAAACAAGGCGAACACATCAGAATGACAACAACAGCAGGAACAGAAACTTCAAGGAGGGTGATTTAAAGAAAATGAACACAAAATGTCCAATGGAGGATTGGGAAAAGCATGAGTATCACATAGAGGTGCTAATCATGAAGGGAAGCAGAATGGGGAGGATGGGGGAAAATGGAAGGAATGAAACAACATGGATAAGATTGGCAACTGAAAAACATCAAAGTCAGTAAACCGATAAGTGGCAAATAACACTGCCCTATAGTTCACAACAGAAGAAACCAAAAGGTCCCCTTCAAAAAGCCAAGGCAATAAGAATGTTATATGAGGAACCGTAGGATGGAAAAGACAGACCTCTTAGGACAGACCAAAAGCAGTATGTATACCACATACATAGGTAACCCACCATGGAGGAAAAAGAACAGGGAGAAAGATAGGTGATATCAAAAACTGGTGCAGCAATGGAAACTACATATGAGCCAGCCAAAACATAACCAACAAAACACTACACAGAGTGGTCTGAAGTATGATAAGTACATACACGTGGGAGGAGACGAACAGGGGGATATGCATAGAAGTACCAACCTAATCAATTCTGACTGAGAGCATTGACTGCTCCCACCAGAGGATGAGGGACAGGAGACCAAAATCGATGAAGTGGTGTATTGAGAAGAGGGGCAAAAGCATCCAAATCTGGGACACAAAAAACAGGTAGATCTAAAGACCACTCTTGAAGAAAGAATCACGCGAGGATGGATAACCAATTTGCAACCAGATTCAGAGCACCCAGATTATAACATGCCAATAAAGTGATGGAACAGCAGTGGGCCCAACATAGAAGATCCAATGTTTGAAAACAGAGGTCTATCAACCAAGTGACCCTTGATGTACAAGACTGCCATATAAAAGTTGGAGTGAACCACCATTAACCAGCCCCTAAGAGCCCACAGGAAGTGAAGGAAAGCCTAACAAACAGCAAGAAGTTCCAAGAGATAGATATGGAGTGAGGATTCCGAAAGAGAAATTCACCCCGAAACCTCCTGAGTGTCAAGATACACACTTCAACTATAAAAAAAAGCATCCGTAAAAGGTGACATTTCAGTCGAGGAACACCCATGGTAGTATTATTCCAATCTAACCACCAGCCAAAGTTAGCCTGAGGAAGAAGAGGAAGAGGTGCATCTAAGGGATCCCAAACAAGGCTCCATTGGTCTATCAAAACCCACTGATGATGACACATGTGTGCAACAAGAGGAATGAGGACTACGAGAGAAGCCCATGTCCCTAAAAGAGAGACAACCTCTCATGCAGTTGGAGAAAGACAGGATGAGATCCTGCATACGAGACATTCCATAGCTTGCAGCTGAAGTGTAGCAGGTAGGGCCAGATGGAAGAGGGAGTTGAAAAAATCTCAAGATGAACCAAAAAATTAAGTGAGTGGGAGGAAAAACTGCTCCATAGAACAATGAAAAGAAGGCCCTGGAATGAAACAAATGGGCAAAAAATGGGATCCCAAGGAGGAGGAAAGGAATAAAGATTATGAGACAATGGGGAGAAGAATGGAAGTAAAGGACCAGACTTACTGAAACAACTTTCAAATTCAAGGATCGACTATCAAAAGCCTCCAAACATGGGCAAATTCAAGGAGTTTGGCTTCCACCAGCCCTGACCTAAGAAGGGTGGTCAGAGTAAGGGAAAAGGTAACCAAATTATTGGGGTCCAAAACCCCACTAAGAGAGAGGCAAGACCAAACACTTTGAGTCCAAATAAGGGAAGTAGGAATGATGATAATAAAAAGCATGACCGTCCACAGTATGTGGGAGTCGAGGCATACCTACCTCCGAATGCAAATGCTCCCCAAAACAATTCACATGAACCCCAATATCCAGGGAATTGTGAAACACTAAAATAATGACCCAAGGCTAGTCCCTGAAAAGGGCTGGGGTGAAACATAGGAAATGGGAGATAAGGACAGAACATAACATACCTAAATAATCAAATCCAATTCAGGGGAAAAAGGGTTTGGGCAAGTCATCTGAAATGACAAGTGACTGAGAGGCATATTCAGGAGGGGGAAAAAGGCTGTCCAAATCCAAAACATCCCAATCACTGAAAACATGACAACATAATCATCAGTTTGTTTCGATGAAATTGGTCAACTCCCGAGGGACCAGAGCTGTCATTTTCTGACCCATTTGACTTGGTCAGTAATTGCACTGCAATAGTTGTAGTCATGACCACCTGAAACTGTGAGTCCAAAACTCACAAAATTGAAAGAGGTGAGAAGATAAAATAATTTGTAACTCTCCACAAAACAGAATGAAAAAGGTAAATAACAATGGAATTAAAGTCCAAAAGTTAAGAAAGTAAAAACTTGTGGATAAGTGAATCAAACTGCGAACAGAAATACATCTACTAAATAAGACTGTGGAGGTAAGATATCATATCAGAAACACAAAGTTTGATTTAAGAAATTCAATCCTACATTTCAATTTGCCAAAACTACTATGTCACAAAGAAATTTAAAATGTTTCTTTTGTCACTCTAGCCATTTTTACAGAGCAAATTAACCTGGAGTAATAACTAACTAGTAATCTATTTAATGTAATTCATACAACAGTGAAGGTGTCAAAACAACTTAAAAGTTAGGAATCCAATCAGGCAGTCTTAACCTCATTAGAATAATTAAAACTAGTAATAAAAATTTTATTACTACCAATATAATTGTTATTGAATTTTCTACTACCTTTCCATCAAGATGCTTAATAATTTCTTCAATGCTCCTGTGTTGTCTGATGAGTTCAATAGCACGTTTTGGTCCAATGCCACGGATACTCTCACAATAATCACAGCCCAAAAGAATACATAGATCAATGAACTGAAAATTTAAAATATGTTTGTACAACTAGCATATACATAATGCCAAGAGAAAAACTTTAAATACAATTATTCAAATTATCTTTAGCTTTCTAACACATGCTTTGACAGGTATATTAACAAAAAGACAAATGCTCACTTTTACTGGCATACAAAAAAATCAGTCAAAGTCATGCTTTTTCTGATTTCCTCATGAAAGAACTCACAAACATTTTTATTGGCTTCATATTTAATAGATCAAAGAACTTCTTACCTCATCCATGTTGAGGTCAAGTTCATTTAAAACCTTCTGCAAATGAAACTCTTTAATTGGCATTTTTCTGAAATAAGAATGAAAAAATAATAATAATTGAAAAAACAGAACTTTTTTAGAGCTAAAACATTTAACTTACTAGAATATCCGTTAAAAAATCAAAACATGTAACTAGACACAAGGTTGTAAACACAGTGTTTCAAGAAATCTTTTTTTAAATTTACAATATAAGCATATGAGAATAAAAAAGTAAGTACTGTGAGCATATTCTAAACTTTTCTGATTTATTATCACACCAAATCTGAAAGTAGAAGGTTGTAATATGAATCTGTTACCTTCAGCTCAAGTTGTAAATATTTTTTAAAGACACATTATGAGCTCAATCAAGCTGTTTAAGAAAAAAAAGTGTTCACAACTTTTCTAGGATATTCATCTTGACATTACAAAAAAAAAGATAGTGACTGGTAAGTTTCTACTTTTTTCACCCAATACGCTTTAGATATTATTTCCACATTTCAGTATGTCATTAGTGCCAATTTAGTCTGTCAAGCATACATATTATTAATATGGTAATTAAAAAGCTATCAAAACAAAATAAATTTATGCTATAGAAAAAAGAAGTTAAACAAACAGTAAAAATGACTATATTGTAGTTCAGGGTTATTTTAATTCTAAAACCCGAAATATAAGTAAAACTACCACTAAAAACAGTTTTAGAGATAGATGACTCATGACCTTATGAAACAAAGAAAAGTTAAGTGTGTCTATTAGAAATGTGTTTTGATTTCTAAGGAAAATCTGAAAGTTAATCACACTTTACAAAAAAACCCCACTATAAAGCTCATACTCTCCTTGGAAAACTTCCTCCATTGTCAATTTTGCTCAACCTGATGGCCATCATTATGACACACCAATTTCCATTGCAGGAAGATTCTGCAAAGGATGATGAAGTCAACCCCAGGACCACACACCTTGACAAATTTTCAAGATAATTTCCACTGTACATAGACAATAGTATCTAAGATCATGTTTAAGCAAACAAAAAGGTACACAAAAAGAAAACACTGGTTCAGCAGTAGGAGACATAACAAATAAATGGTCAAATGAGTTTATCATGATTTCAGTTTCTATAAATATCTTTCTCAGAAACACACTAGTGGTTTTAAGATGTGACTAGACACTTGTAAATGTTTTGTCTCTTATGTTGTTTATTATCTTTTTAACAGTACCAAAAGATAAGTCCAGCTTCATCACAACAGCCTTTTCTTTATAATGACAGCCTTCACTTTGCATATGAAGGCGTTCGACAATGGCTTGGGAGGTCATTTTATGGCACATTGCTGTCCTGAAACTGTTGTGTTAGTTTTTCTATAACCATGGAGAACACTGAAGGCTCTCTTTTTTCAAAATGTTATCTCTGGTGCTACACATCTAGCAATCTTACTGCCTGTAAACTATAATTAAGTACAAAACCAAATGGTGGAGACTGTACCTGGCTTCACTAAACGTCATATGTCTCAAAAGAATGTTAGTTCCAAATGTCAACCCATCCATATCTTCTGTTGCTGTGGCATAAACCTTGCCAGTTTTTACTAGAGCTGCACATTGTGCTTCAGCTTCACAAGGGGCCTATTGACAAAGTTATTCAGAAAGGTGTTTAATTCTGTTTAAATAAAATAGTTTGCCATAAAAACTAACCCAGTATTTTAGAAAATGGTAAGAATTTAAATGCTGAAACTGATAATTAAACAGTTGCTATGAATAATAAGGACAAAAGTTGTATAAAAACATTGGTATTAATGTTGCAATAGTTATTCATAATCTGTACACTACAATAATTCTGAACATACCAGTTTTGTTTAATGTTTAAATCAAGAGGCTTTATACTTTCCAATTAATGTTGATTCTTTATAAATGTATTAAAAAACAACTATTACACTAATTTGAAGTAAGCCAAAGTGTTCTGCTTCTGAGCACAATTTTTGAACTTTACCTCCACATAAGGGACACCCATGAGACGAAGTAATTCCTTACAGTCATCATTGTGCTGTTTTGTAACTTTTACAAGTCGTCGTGTAAACTTGTCCACATCTTCAGAAACACCTAATGTAACATTATATAAGTCAGATACAGAATAACCATATTATATATTTTTTAACTGTAGCTTACTTGAATACCAGAATAAAAGTTTTTTTTATAAATACTTTTTAATACTACTCCTACCCTGGGCAATAAACAAAATTAAAATAAACAATACCAGGATAAACCAATGAATTTTGATACATTTTACTTCTCAAAAACATTGAGGGTGTGGGGACACTATGGTTCTTTCAGGTGAGAAAAAAAAATCTTTTATTTTACTTGCTTGTCAGTACCAAAGATTTCAATATGATTAGCCAGTAAACAATGCCAACAAACATACATGTGTAACATTCATGTATCTGGTTAACTAATCTTGTTATTGCTTGTGAAATAAATGGTGCTTTAATATGTAATTTAACAAAGAAGTAATGAATGCTTAATTAAAAAAAATTTCCATAAAAAACAAGTATTAGTTAGTCGTGTAAATGTCTAACACAAATTAAATTTATCAAAAAATATTAGCATAAACATTCATTCCTCAGCAACACTACTTATTGACTGATATGATCTTTCTATCCATTTGACAGTCAACTATGCTTCACTTTAGAAGAAAAATTTCATTCTTTTGAGATGAAGAAATAAACTTTTGTCTTGTCAGAAGTACACTGTCACTGCGAGTCATTGTTTAGAAATAAAATTATTTTCAAAAACAAGCTTTTTTAATAATGATTTGATGCACAACCAAGTTATGCACAAACTAGACTGTCTTGAGTTGCAGACTAATGCACTAATCTAAAACCAGTTGTAAAATGAGTTTTTGAATGTCTGAAACTTCAGATATGTGCTTTATTTCACAATAGTCAGACTATTCATATAAACTACCTTTATATACTAATACATCCAAGCTGTTAACTGTCTTAATATGAGAATAAAAGGAATATAATATGAAAT